TTTTGAACTGTGGTGTTGGAGAAGACTCTTGAGAGTCCCTTGGACTGCAAGGAGATCCAACCAGTCCATCCTAAAGGAAATCAGTCCTGGGTGTTCATTGGAAGGACTGATGTTGAAGCTGAAACTTCAATACTTTGGCCACCTGATGCGAAGAGCTGACTCATTTGAAAAGACCTTGATGTTGGGAAAGATTGAAAGCAGGAGGAGAAGGGGACGACAGAGGATGAGATGGTTAAATGGCATCACCGACTCAATGGACATGAGTTTGGGTAAACTCTGGGAGTTGGTGATTGACAAGGAGGCCTCACGTGCTGCAGTTCATGGGGTAGCAAAGAATCAGACATGGCTGAGCGACTGAATTGAACTGAACTGAACATACAACTCAACATTAAAAACAAAGAAAAACAAATAACCTGATTAAAAAAATAGGCAGAGGACCCGAATACACATTTTTCAAAAGGCATACATTTAGCCACATACATATGAAATTATTCTCAACAATCTCCAATCATCAGGGAAATGCAAGTCCAAACCAAAATGAAATTTTATTAAGTGAAAATCAGTTATATTTTGCCCTACTATATATTTAAAATGCATTGCTTTTGTTGTTGTCATTAAGTCACTCAGTTGTGTCTGACTCTTTGTGACCCAATGGACTGTAGAACTCCAGGCTGCTATCTCCTGGCATTATCTCCAGGCAAACTATTTCCTGGCTACTATCTCCTGGCAAATTCATTGAGTCGATGATGCCATCAAATCATCTCATCCTCTATTGCCCCTTCTCCTGCCCTCAATCTTTCCTGGCATCTGGGTATTTTCAAATGAGTCAGCTTTTTGCATCATATAGCCAAAGCATTGAAGCTTCAGCCTCAGCATCAGTTGTGCCAATGAATATTCAGGGTTGATTTCCTTTAGGGTTGACTGGTTTGATCTCCTTTGCTGTCCAAGGGACTCTGAAGAGTCTTCTCCAGAACCACAGTTCAAAACCATCAATTATTTGGTCCTCAGCCTTTTTTTATTGTCCAGCTCTCACATCTGTTGGGTTCAGTCTCTGGGTTGGGAAGATCCCCTGGAGAAGGGAATGGCTATCCACTCCAGTACTCTGGCTTGGAGAATTCCGTGGACTGTCTAGACCCTGGGGTCGCAAAGAGTCAGACACAACTGAGCGCCTTTCACTTCTACATCTGTACATGACTACTGAAAAAAACATAGCTTTGACTATATGGACTTTGTAGACAAAGTAATTTCTCTCCTTTTCAACACACCATCTAGATTTGTCATTGCTTTTCTTCCAAGGAACAAGCATCTTTTAATTTCCTGGCTGCAAACACCATCCACAGTTATTTTGGAGCACAAGAAAATAAAATCTGTCACTGTTTCCATTATTTTCACATCTATTTGCATGAAGTGATAGGACTGGATACCATGAATGTCAAGTTTTAAGCCAGCTTTTTCACTCTCCTCTTTCACCTCATCAAGATGCTCTTTAGTTCTTCTTCATGTTCTGCCATTAAGAGTGGTGTCATCTGGGTATCCGAGGTTACTGGTATTTCTCCTGGCAATCTTGATTCCAGCTTGTGCTTCATCCAGTTTGACTCTTCTCATAATGTACTCTGCATGTAAGTTTAATAAACAGGGTGACAATATACAGTCTTGATATACTTCTTTCCAAATTTGGAACCAGTTCATTGTTCAATGTCCAATTGTAACTGCTGCTTCTTGACCTGCATACAGATTTCTCAGGAGGCAGGTAAGATCATCTGGTATTCCCATCTCTTGAAGAATTTTCCACAGTTTGTTGTGGTCTACATGGTCAAAGGCTTTAGCGTACTCAATGAAGCAGAAGTAGATGTTTTGTTTTGTTGTTTTTTTTTGTCCTGGTATTCTCTAGCTTTCTCTATGATCCAACAGATGTTGCCAATTTGATTTCTGGTTCCTCTGCCTTTTCTAAATCTAGCTTGTCCATCTGAAAGTTCTCAATTCACATAGTGTTGAAACCTGGCTTGAAGGATTTTGAGCATGGCTAGCATGTGAAATGAGTGCAATTGTACAGTAGTTTGAACATTCTTTATCATTGTCCTCCTTTGAATTGGAATGAAAACTGACCTTTTCCAGTCCTGTGGCCATTGCTGAGTTTTCCAAATTTGCTGGCATATTGAGTGCAGCACTTTCACAGCATCATCTTTGNATAGCATTGAAACATGTATATTATCACATATGAAATAAATCACCAGTCCGGGTTCGATGCATGAGACAGGGTGCTCAGGGCTGGTGCACTGGGAGGATCCGGAGGGATGGGATGGAGAGGGAGATGGAAGGGAGGTTCAGGATGGGGAACATATGTACACCCATGGCTGATTCATGTGAATGTATGGCAAAAGCTTCACAATATTGTAAAGTAATTAGCCTCCAATTAAAATACATAAATAAAAATACAATAAAATTTTAAAAAATTAAATTATAGTTAATGTATGTTAGTTACAGGTATACAATATACTGATTCACAATTTTGGGATTTTATGCCCCATGTATAGTTATTATAAATATTAGCTGTATTTTTCTGTGTTGTACCATATATCTTTGTAGTTTGTTTTATACATGATAGTCTGTACCTCTTGACTCCTTATCCCTACCTTGCCCTTCTCTGCTTCCCTGTCCTCAGTGGTAATCACTAGTTCGGTCTCTTTATCCATGAGTTTGTTTTGTTGTTGTTATATTCACTAGTTTGTTGTATTTTTTAGGTTCTACATATAAGTGATGTCATACAAAGAAAAGACAAAGTGTTTGTCTTTCTCTGGGACAATTTTATTAGTTAGATAAAATACACCAAATTAAGATTTGGGTCCTGATATCTTTGATTTGATCCCAGTAACTTTCTTAGTGGGTGTAAGTATCAGGATCAATATCCCATTTTTTTAAAAATAATTAAGACTATCAGTGTGGGTCACTGAGTAAAGAAAGTTTATTAGATGAAAAATAGTTTAACATAAAACCCTCTTTAATAGCATAAATTCAGACTTTTAAAGAAATACAGCACTGAATTTATATTGAAGGGTAAGTAAATATGAAGTTACTTTCAGCACTGAAAAACCCTAGTAACTTTTCATAATTAATTGGCTATAAGAAGAAATTAAGAATGAGTAAATTGGTTTGCTGGATAACATTTCTTATTATATGCTTCTTTCTTCTTTGCTTCCAAGTATAGATCTCTATGTAACTTCACTGAGTCTGTCAGAAGAAGACTGAAGGAAAAGATACCCACCCACATAATACTGTGATTGTTTAGAAGGTCCTGTATGTAAAGGAGTTGTATGAAAGCAGCTGGCATAGTTTATTAGTTTCACCTGGATTCTCTTCTGCCTGGTTGCCTTGTAGGGAGAAAATAGCAAATTCAAATGCAATTCCAGTCTGAAGTATAATTACTTGCTTGCATAACAAAATTTTTTATTTTTTTCTGCACATTGTTATTCTTACTTGGTTTAAGAAGAAAAACCATTTAATGTTTTAGAACTTTATAATAGTAAAATATACACAAGTTAAAAATTGTTCTTTCCTATTCTTATAATTTTCCAAAGGTATTAAAATTACTTTGTATATGTATGAATGTGTTTTTTTTTTAAATCCTAAATTTGAGATCAATTGCATCTGGTTTTGCAAAATAATGAGAAAATAATTAGTTCACTATTTATATAGAAACACTAAGAAATAAACTTAATTGCTGCCAGTTTTATATAATAGGCTTTAATGTTTATGAATGTATTTTTTTACTTTGAATATAATATCCACTTAAACTTGTAAAAGAAAGTCTAAAATATTAATTGTAATTCATTTCATATTACAACCAAAGTGTTCATTTCTGAACCTGCTCTTCAACATGTCATCATAAGAAGCCAGTGTTTGATTTCTTTTGAAATTCTGTATAATGCCCTTTTTCTTCACTTGTATAGATAGCTTCTTAGAAAGGCCAACTTAGATGTAACATTTAAAATACACTTATGCCAGTGAAGTCTCAAGCAGAGCAATGTTTATGAGTGCACATCACTCTGCTGGGCTTTACATTGATATTATTCAACTTGTAGTGGTGAGACATGTAAATAAAATATCAGAAGGAATTCAATAATATGATATCCCAAGAAAGGCACTATCCTAGGTCTGAATTTATTGATAATTAGTTGTTCTCAAGTTGTTAAGTATGCTTTTAAATTGTATTTATTCAAAGACTGTTAGCTCAGTGACATATTTTACAATAAGTTAATTCCAGGTATGAAGCTTACCTATTCATGTCTTGACTATAAATTTTACTTTGTAAACATTCTAGAATGGGAGAATCCATTAACCCTTAACTCCTATTTTTTCCAAAATAGAAGATTGGAATTTATATATGAAGATTTTGAAATAGAAATTCTGATATGAAAATCTGTCTCCCTTTCATAGCTTATTCATAGTGTTTTGGGGGGTAGAAGGTGCTTATTGATATTACTGTTATTAAATTTACACACAAAAGATTTTTTTATGAAATGTATTTCATTATTTAAATTGTATATTTGAGGGAAACTCTAAATGATTTTCCAATGAATTATAATTCCTTCACACAAGTTCATTTAAGTAGAAACATAAGCTATTAACCATGATATTTATGTTTAAAACATAATGTACTTGTTTATGTCATTTGTACAGAGAAAAGAAAAGATTCATACAGTTCAGATATATATCATGGAATATAAGCCACACTTCTGCTAGTACAAATTCTCACATTCACAGAAAAAGTTGAAAACCAGCCATAATTAAATGGTTATAGATTTCTACATACACAACTTCAGTAATTGTTTAATAAAACACTCAGTGATTTGAGTGTCTAGTTGTCCTTACTTGTATAAGTTCCAAGTGTTGAACATAGCATGGTAGAAAGGTTCTTGATACTTGTCTCTTTTTTCATTGTTCCTTTTCACTGGGACATTTTTGACTGATCATACCCTGCCAATGGAGATCTTTTACTTAATTCAAGATTATCAGAGGAAAGGCAAAGTTCCTCTCAAAATTTATAAAAATCTCAACTAGTGGTATTTATGTTGAAGGTGGCATACTAGAACAAGTCCGTGACAATAGAGCCATATATTTTATTCTTTACTGGCAAGCTGAAGGGGGAACCATAGGAGTGTCAAATACATGTACTTTAAACTCTACCTTCCCTGTGATTTGGTGTTTGTTTTATTTTTCTCTTGAAAGTTCTTTGCAATTTCTAACATTTTCAGAAGGCAAAAAGAAAATTTCTACAATTTAATTAAGATGGCTAAGGAGATCAGAGGTAACTGTGCCACCTCAATTTAGGGTCATGGGTGAGTCAGTGAAGTGGAGCAGATAGAGAGCACTATATGAAAGAAGAGTTGTAAATGTTAATCTCTTCTTTCTTGGTTCAGTCCTCTCTAAACTCTGTGAAATCAGTGAAGGTTTTGGTCACTTCATCATTTTCATTCTCCTTCACAGAGCCAGTGATCACATGTCATATGTCCACAGTGTCCAGGGTGACCCCACCTCCGAGACCCAGTACCTGGGCTCACACATCAAGTCTCCAGGGTTACCCCCTCCCAGACCTTGCACCTAGGGTCACGTGTCCACAGTCTCCAGGGTGTCACCCCACCCCAGACCTTGTACATTGGTCACATGGCCACATTCTGCATGGTGACACCCCACCCAGACACTGTACTGGATTCTAATGTCTGCAATATCCAGGGTGATCCCCAAGACCATATACATGGGATCACACATCCACAATCTCCAGGGCCAGCCTCTTCCCAGACACTGCACTTTGCATCACAAGTCCATAGTCCCCAGGGTGACTGACCCCTCCCAAAACCTGTACCTGGGGATATGAGTACACTCTCCAGGGAGACCACACCTCCCAGACACTGCACCTGGGGTCACACGTCCAAAATCTCCAGTCTGTCCCACATTCCAGGCCATGGCCTTGGGGTCATTTGTCCAGGTTCCAAGGTGAACCCAACTCCCAACCCCGTACCTGTGGTCAAACATCCATACTCCCTAAGGTGACCCCAGCTCTCAGACACTGCACCTGGGTTCTCACATCCAGTCTGCAAGGTGACTCCTCTTCCCAAACCCTACACCTGGGGACACAGGTCCACAGACCCCAGGCTGAAGCTCTCCCAAACCCTGTACCTGTGATTACAAGTCCACAGTCTCCATGGTGACCCCCTCCCAGACACTGTACCTGGTGTCACACATCCATGTCTCCAGGGTAAGGACCTGGGTTTACATATCCAACGTTTCCTATGTGACCCACATCCAGTCCAGTACATAGGGTCACACGTTCACAGTCTCCAGGGTGATGCCCCTTTCCTGTCCCTGCACCTGGGCTCACATGTCCACAGTTGGCAGGGTACCCCATATCACCAAACTGTGCACCTGGAGTCACATGTCAATAGTCTTCAGGGTGAACCCTCTCCCTAGACCCTGAACCTGGTGTCACACATCCACAGTCTCCGTGGAGAGCCCTCTCCCCAGATCCTGTCCACAGTCTCCAAGGTGACACCCCTCCCAGGCCTTACACCTGGGATCACATTTCCACAGGCTCCAGGATGAACTCCTCCCAGACCTTTCCCGAGGTCACATG